AAAATGTTTTCAGACTATACTATATAGTTATTCTTTTAAATTTATATAATAAATAGTTTTCGAGATATTAGAATGAATAATTTTTCGCAAACGAGGTAGACAGTGTAAACAAATTTAATTCAAAAAAAAATTCAAGCCGATTGTTTTCTATGAAATAAATTTACTTTGCTGAATAAGCACATTTAATAAAAGTTCAGTATATCGAGATATAGCAACCAAGTACACATACTATTTTTGCTACTTAACATGTACCAATAACAGGCAACAGGTAAATATATTGAGTGCACATTCTGCGCTCATTAATTTAATGCATTTCAAAAGTCCCAGTGGGTATATACAAATTGCAGTGAATTCTTACTCGCACACAGGCTCAAGTTGTTACTTAAAAATGATGAGGGCAAATTTAGTCAGTATCAGGCATCTGTGATAAGCTTCATACTAGTTTATGCGGACGATTATAAAGCTGCAGACGGTGTACGTGTATGTTGCCGATGACGATAACGTTGTCGATTTACGATAGTAAATACGTACAATAACACAACATAGCTGTCGGTATATGAATACGTATGCGATGTATCGATATATATATCAACATTTACAAGAATTTCCCCAAAGCTATCAAAATTTTTACATGACGGATTGAAAGATGAGTTAAGTTGTATCGATTTTGTGGAAGAGATGTTATACATTTTAAAAACTACATTGTCGCATTCATGTTCATATATGTTAGGTATTATTTTTAATTTATTTATCTTATTTTATTTTATTTTTTTTTGGAAAATAAAAAAAATATTCGCTCAAAATAAAGAGTTTTAAAAACACCTCCTCGACATTAGGTCACTGAACACATTTTATCAATTCTTGTTGTTAGAGATTAGATGGTTACTAAACTACTGATTAATTTAAACAAAAAGGTATTGAAACGCTTATTATAGAAGTTTTAGTTTCCTTAGCTTTTTCATCCAAATAGTCATATTAATTAAATTTTTCATCAATTATATGAACCTCAATTATAGTCTATGAAATACATATATTGCAACCCTTGCTAAACTATCATTTGATGTGTCCTGGAATTTGTTCAATAATTACAAAATGTGAATTTTATTATAAACAATTTACAACTGCATATTGATCAGATATTGAGTTATTTCGAAGGTGGATAATTTCAGTAAATATTGAAAAGATGAAGGCTGTGTTCATTACAAGACGTAGAAATCAAAACTCAAGAAAAATTAAGATAAATAATGTGAAAATAGAATGGGAGTACAATGTAAAATACGTAATCCTAACTTTTGACAAAAGATACACGATTAGAGAATAGATGATAATTAGATTAGATGATCAGATAATATAAAGACCAAGAAGTTTCCTTTTAATATAATTTGAATACTCTAAAACTATTAACACAAGAAAAATAGAGAGTAAAAAATAAAATTCTGCTTTAAAAGGAAATAATCAGACCTAAACTACTTTATGATTGTGTTACGTATGGCAATGCTACTCCATCTACCATTAGAAAACTACAACCTTATCAGAATATTGTATTGAGACTTATGTTAAAAGCTCTATGGTACATCAGGAATTAAGACATACACAAAGACTTGAGAGTTGAGACTGTGGAAAAGTAAATCACAGGCAGCGTGCTGAAATCGTTCAATTGTGTAAATGCGCACATTAATTTAGAATTGCACTCTATTATATCAAATACAATATATATTCCGTCGGGAAGACATGCTAAGTTTCAAAGAATACTTCTATAAAATCATCTTAATATCTCAACGGATATAAAATGATCAGAATTTAGCTGAACTCTTATTATAGTGGACTAACTCGCGTTTGATCAACAGATATGAAGAAATGAAGAATTAGAAGTTCTCTTCAAAACTACTCGACAAATACGATATTCCTCTTTCTATAATCTCTGCTTTCTCGCAGACTCTAATTTGATACCGTTTTTTGGAATCCGTGTAATTATTATAAAACTTTTTTTTTTAAATAATCGACAAATACGATGTTGCTTTTGTAAACGTTTACAGATTCTTCAATTTCTTCATGGTTGTAATAAAGAATTATAGTAGAAATTGGTTACATCTTTACGTTCGCTTTGATTAGGTCTTTAATACATTAACGGTGACAAATTTCTTAAAATGTGACTTATATCAATCTTCCTCAGTGTTAAGATATATATATGAAATGGTTATAACCAGATCATCGAATATTTTTGCGTTTTTATATGGAAGAGAAGAAATAACTGTATGAACACACCTTGTTAAAATTGCTTTACTGAGACATCACATATAGTATATATATGTTGGAGGATCACACATGTTTCTATATGCAAATGGATAATAAATAAAAATAACAAATTTCACAAACAAATTAAAATTTTTACTCCTTACTGAATGGACAAGGTAAGATATGGGGCATAATATAAAAAGTAAGAATTAATAAAAAAAATTGATTCAAAACGGAAATCAAATCAAACTTCGGCAGTAAAATCCTTTTGTCAATATTGATATGGAGTCGAACTTCGATAACTCGAAGTCCAATTTTGCAAAGAAAAGATTCGACTTATGGAGACTTCTAGTTTAAGAATTGTTTTATTTTTTTTTATTTTTTAAAGAAACTAGAATTATATTTTAATATATTTCTTAATTTATTTAAAATCAAATACAGCACAGAAGTTATAGTGAAGTAAAACAAAAAGAAATAAGTGTGTGGGATTTCAATTTTTTTTTTTGTTAATTTCAGTAAAAACATATTTCATTTTATTTAAGCCCTTCTGGTGATCATCAGTTGTATTATAAACCATCAGTTGTAGTATAAAGTGATCATCGTTTGCAAATATAAATTCAGAATATTGAATGAGTCTTCTACTTCATTCTTAGAAGGCTGATAAACAATTACATCCACGGAACTCACATCATCACTTTTCGTAACGCTTAGAATTGGATCCAATAATTTAGAGCTATAGTGCTCAATAAATATCGTTATCTGTAGAAAACCTTGATGTACAAATTTTATTGTTAAGCTCCATATAAGCGTTAAGAGTAGCATTGGAAGTTATTTTATTTATTTTGGAAAAGGGACTTCCCCTAACAGTAAAATGCATTTATGCTTAAAACAAAAATTCGACTTATAGAATACACTTTCCCCATATTCCTATTGGCACGGAAAAATATTATTGTTCGAGTTATAGAAGATCGAGTTATGGAAGCAGAATTGTATGTAATTTGCTCTCTAAATCCTTTGTGCACTATTTTTAGTTCGAGTTATGGAAGTTTGACTGTAATCCAAAAAAATAGGCTCATACAAGGGTATTGCTTCGATAAATATATGCTTCTAGATATATAATGTTTATCTAGAGATTTTATGATTACTGACTAAAGATAAATATACAATAGGTACAGTAAAATTCCCCTAATTCGAAGTTCCCTAAGTCGAATTATTCCACAACTCGAACTCTTATGTACGAACTTTGAATTTTCAACAACTCTTTCTTGTATTTTTTTCTCCATAAGTCGAATTCCCCTAACTCGAATATTTCCGTAACTCAAACTAAAAATTCAGATAGCTTTTTAGCTCTTCGCTTTAAATTTATCTGCACAACTCGAATTTTTTGTTTTGTCATTATATTTTTAAATACATTTGTCAGTTACTTTTCTAACTTTCGGCGATACTTAGATGGCTAACAACTGCTCTTATTATTGTAAATTTCATCAATGCGATGATAGAGTTGTGCTTATTATCAGTGAAGCAGTAGACTTTCAATCACAAACATAACTAAAAGAAATTAGAAATGTTTCAATCACCGAAAAAATTTATTTAATTATTAAAGTAGAAAAAGGTGAGAAAAGAAAAAAGATATAGCCGAAAAATATGGAACTCCTTGCAACACCTTATCAACGCTTTTAAAAAATAAACGTCAACGGATTACAATATGTAAATAAGATGACGTGGGTGAAGCTATGTTACAAAAAATCAACCTCTGATGGGTAGTATTATTAGAGAAAAGGTAAAGCAGTTTGCAGACACAATTGCCGCAAATAAAGATGCGATCAAGACAATTTGAACATTTATCCATTTCAGAGAAAACGTACAGGATGATATATTCCAATTAAATAAAATTACGTGTGTATACTCAAATCATTAAATACTTTGGAAATTTAAAGTAGAGTGGCAGAAAGTAAAAAAATGTAACTAAATATTTTAAATAAAAAATATTTGGTAGAAAAACCAAAAAAAAAGTGTTTTATCTATAACTCGAATTTTCTCTAACTCGATTTTTGCCGTCCCCTTGACGATTCAAGTTAGGGGAATTTCACTGCAATATGTCGTAGAATAGAGAAATATTGACGTTAACCTTGCTTTATACCAGGGCTGTCCAGACTAGATGGGACTACGAGGCAATACAAAGCACTTTACAGATTAAACGGCCGCAGAAACAAATACATAGCTCATAGTTGTTTTTGAGAAAAATATAAATTTGATTATAATGTTAAATTTAGTTTAATTAATGTATTAATTTAAATTAATTTATTTGGTATACCATAAAATTTGTGTAGTTGTGGTAGATTAAAAACATGATCCGAGCCGTGCTTTGGACAGCCCTGCCTTACACTATAGTTTTGTCTCTCTTCATTCTCTTAATAAACACGGCTGCATATTGTGTTAACAGTACCATGCAAAAAAACTTCCAGAATTTCCAAAATGAAAGGTTTGAAGCAGACCTAAAGATATGCAGGTAAATCAAATTTATTTTTTATAAAATTACATTTTAAAATAGTAGCCTCTGAGTTTAAGCAAATGTTAAATAAGCATTTTATTAAGTTAATTTTTTCAGTTAAAAAATTAAATAAAAAATATATTCCGTACAGAATTTTCGGTTGGGAGAGGGTTTGCAAAATTATTAGTTTTTATTTTCTGTACATTGTATATAAACAGCAGTACACCCAATCCACAAAAATTTTTTTTTTAAAAGTAGCAAATATAAGCATATAATGGATTTGACTAAAGAGCTTATGAAAAATATAACTCGATTTAAAAAAAAGAAACGTAAATCTCTACTTCCCACAATGGACAGTATTTCCAGGAGGAACCTAAATCGTTTGCGTAATAAAATTAAGGCACTGGAAGTAAAGGCTGAGCGATTCAAGGAGAAAAATCGACGTAGAATAAAGGAATTAGCACGAAGGAGACAAAAAATAAAAGAGGAGAAACGAAAGCGAATATGTATGGAGAAAATGAAAAAGAAAAGACGTCTAATCAGAGAAAAGGAATTGCGCAAGTTGCGTAAGTTAAAGCGTATGGCTCGTAATAGGAAGTTAGCAGAGCTTAGACGTGCTGCTAACATAAAAAGGAAGAAATTGGAAAAATTACGAAAAGCGCGGGCCCAAGAAATACAGAGAAGGCAAAGAATGAAACAACGAGCTATATTAAACATTGTCAGGAGAAAGAGACAGGAACGTATTGAGTACATGAGAGCATTACGAAAACAAGAAAAATTGCGTAATGAGTTAATGAGAAAAGAACAAGAGTTAAAACAGAAGCAAGAAACTAAAAGAAAACTTACAGTAGAACTTAGGAAACTGCAACGAACAAGTGTTAATAAACTGTTTTCCAATAATCAGAGAAGTCATTTACAGCGTGCAACTGGGGGTCAGGAAAACATAGATCCACAAGACTTAGCAGACTGGTTATTAAACGAGGAAGAAACATATAAAATTGTGGCAAGTAAAAAGAAAAAACATATTCCACATGTTTTGAAGTCAGACATAATAGCAGAATTAAAAGCACTAGAAAAGAAAACCAAAATGCAACCTAAACTAAAACAAAAGCGAAAAAAGAAGAAAAAAAAATGTAAAGTAAAGTCTGTTTTACCTCCGTCGATTTCATCTCAATTAGAAGAACTTCCTACAAAAATAATTCCTTTTCAGGCCAATATCAAAAAACAACCATATACCTTTCATGAAACTAAAAGTGCTTTAATGGAATCGGGGTTTATTATGGATTCAAATAAAAAATCCAAAATTAAAAGCAAACACCCTCAAAAAGAAGAATATGAAATATTACAAATATCTGGTTCAAAATCGAAACTTTTTCAAGATGCCGATATGACAGTGAGAAGGAAACTAGGGTCTCAAAAAATTCTTAACGACATACCAGCAAATGAGTTTTTGGGAAATTTACCAGTTCCAGCACAAAAACTGTCTGGAAGAGATAAAAATTCACACCGGTTATCGTCTATAAACGTCTACAAAGTTAGAACAGATAAACTAAACCAAGTAGAACGACATTCTTTAAGAAAATCGTTGAATTTGCGATCTGGTCGAAAAGATTCCATCAAAAAGGCTTCAAACCAAACACTAGAATTAGTGCCTAATGGGGAGGGGAATTATGACGAAGTGGAACCATATGAAGATCCTGATGTCTACCAATATTACATACAACATGAGAAAAAAGTTTCAAAAGTTTCGTTTGGTGCACAGCCCAAACTAGAGGCATCAAGAAAACGTAAAAGAAGTTCATTTACTTCAAAATATTCTACAAGATCAAGGTCAAGGTCAAGTTCTTTGAGTATGAACCCAAAACATTTCGAAAGAGATTCACGTTTGTCTGGGTTAAGTTTACAGTCAACATTAGAAATGCTGAAGTATACATCGTCGTCAGACAAGAAAAAAATTCAAACATTAGATGAAAGAATAAAGACATTTGAAAAAAGGCGATCACACTTAATGAAAATTAGGCAATATTTAGATAAAACTCTTCGACATAAACAAGAACCAAACCGGGAGGATTCCGTTACTTCAATGTATATTTTCGAACTTAACTTAGAATCGGAACCAGAAAAAGAAAAGGAACACACGCATTTGTATAGTGGAGAATACCCTGAGGATACAGAAGGGGAGAGCGAATGGGCAAATGATGTGCAAGAAGAGACTGAAACATCAAAAAAAATTGGGATAAAAAAACATGCAACTACGCAATTACAAATGGAAGCCGAAGCTGATATAAGCGGTTATAGCGATGACGAGGAATCGGAAGAATCGCGGAATCCTTTGCGGCCTCGAAAGCCAAGTCAGTTAAGGTACTCTAGACGAAGTAGAGCCGCACGAGAACACCCACCAAAGGTACGAGCATTGGAACCGGAAAGCGATTCGCATAAAAATAAACTTGGTAAAGAATTATACGAAAAACTTAAGCAAAAAGGTAAGGCTGAAGAAAACCCATTCATTCGAAGAGTATCAAAATTAGATGAACAAAAGTTGCGGGACTATTACCGTAAGTTTTACAAATTAAAACAGAAGCTAGAAAATGCCGAATCTGATACCAGTTTTAGACAATTTAGATATGCCGGTTCCATATATAGAAAATCTACAGAGTTTCGTCCAAATCGACCACCACCTGTAATAGAAGTTCAAACAACTAGGAGAGGAACACAGCAAGAAGTTAAAATTGTTAGAAAAAAAATAAGTTGCCCTGCTGATGTCGAGTCCGAAGTTGATGAACCTAAAATATGTGAGGCATGTGGTATGAGTAATTGTTGCGGTAAAGAGGTGTTACGATGCAATTACAAGAAGACTTATTACTAAACTGCGAAGTTTATACTAAAGCATCAATAATAATACTTACTATATAATGCACAATAGTTTTTAAGAACAGAAACGGGATATTATCGCGTTCTAATCTTGCACGAAAGTATACCGTAGTATATAGTACGGTAGATTTAGTTGTTGGTATGAAAAATATTGTCAGGATGTAAGCAGATAATAAGGATATGAGGCGGTTGTAGCTGTCATTAATCTAGGCACCACTTTTGATAGCAATTATTTGATAAAAAATAATTGCTATGAAAACCTAGTGCCGATGACAGATATAATCTTCTTGTGGATAAAAAAAAACAACATCTGTGTCAACTTGTTTTAATTGCATATGATCGACAAAACTGGGGATATGCATGTGGACCCTGTTTTTAAATAACATTCTAATATTTCTTATTTACATATAATATACAAGTAAATATATGCTTTAAATTTGTATACTTATACTTAAGGTTTTTTATTCAATAATTAATTATTTGATAATTTAGTGGTTAAAAAATGAAAAAATGGATAAGAAAACTTTAACAATATACCGATATATCATTGCAACACTATTCAATAATGCATAGAAGAGAAATTTCCATGCCGGAAATATCGACTTTTCGCCAGACAAAAAAAAACTAAAAATTTTGTTATGCAGAATGAAAATACAAGCCTCATATCTTCTGCAATTTTCAACATAATTAACCACTTAAAGAGGATATCACTGAACGAATTAGGTCTGTTTTAATTTGGTACTTTATGATAGAAACTACCTATTGATTACTGGATCTAACAATAAATTATCGAAATTCAATGACTGCAGTTAAATCAAATTGATCAGGATAGTTATAACTAACGGTGCTATGGATTTCATATGACTATATCGCAAAGACTGTAGATTATTCAGTCTTCACTAAGTATTCACTAAGCCAAACATTTCTTTCGTTTTGATCTCGCAGATAAGAGTTTACATGAATCATGAAATATTTTCTATGATGTTGCCCCTTAAATTTTTCTGCTAAGGAAGTTCTGCGCATCCTTGCAAGAAACAAAAAAATGTTTGTAAAACATCTGGATGGGATTTATAGTACAATATAATAGACCTTCACAGTCTATGTGTATTTAGGAGGTTTTATTGAGTGGATTCACAAAGTAGTTCTAAATTCTTGAGTTTTTACTGATTTTGCTATTGTTTTTAAAGTGCAGGATCATCTTTATTCTTTTTTGTGATAACACGTTATATTCGCAAATCTGAGTATCCTAACAAAAAGAAATCCATTAATGAACAATTAGCGATTTTTTTAAGGTTAAGTGTTCCGTTTCTGACACTAGTTTTTGCAGCTGTGTGAGTGATCATAGAATGTGGTCATGATCCGACGTATATTAGTCTTATGTTATTCTATTGAATCATTGTTTTTTATATTGATTTGATTACGAAATGTGTATAGTTATAAAATTAGGAAGTCGACTTAAGACAACTCTCGGTGTTCCTCACACTACTACTTTTAATAATGGATTGGAAATGATCCATTATTAGATATAGATATGCTGAATACAATATAATGTTAGAATGTCATTTTTTAGAGCAGTACTTTTCGTAGGTATCGTAGGTATTATCTTCTAATTTAATAGTAGCTTAAACTTTAATCACTGCCTAGCTGCCTTACAATTTAGTTATATTTTTAAAAGGTTGTTAAGTTAATACTGATCATACTATAATACTATATCATACTCTTCTGTGATAATATTTTTCATCTAAAAACAAACTAAAATGATATTTTAATAATTTTTGCAGAAGTAACTATGAGAAGAGGAAAAAATAGTCAGTAGAGTATTTTTTTTTTACCAAAATCAAGGATTTAATATATCGTAGAACTTTCAATTTTAACAATTAACTGATTTAAAAATATTCGCCTATTGCTTCAAAAAAAACATATATAATAATCATCAGTGCGTCGTGATAATATCTCAATAGTTTCTATAGTATAGGTATAATAAGCCTCCACTTCCTCTTTTAATGAATTTATTGTGCCACAATTTTCGTAAACCTTCGACAAATTTTAGCTTTAAAGGGTTAAGGGTTAGCTTTGCGATGAAAGCCGAGAATTAGCTTACTTGTGAACAATTGTGAATTATCGGCTTAGTTTTGATTAACAATATGAATTCGGAATTTCTAAACATAGGACTTATTATGTTATTTTGATTGAACCATTTTGATTGAAAGATTGTCTAGTCACATAGATTCCAAATGTCTTCTTTAATTATAAATTACAAACTTTAATCGACAATACTATCTAACTCAAATTTATGAAATTTATTATTGATTAGTATTTTTAATATACTATAATTTTATGTTTAAATAGTATTTGGGCTTTCCATACAACTGTGACATCGTTTACATTAATATATATTTCACACTCTACAAATACCAAGTAGTACATAGTTCCACTTTCTATTGTGTTTCCATTGTGTTCAGTTTGTTAATGATTACAAAAAATTTAATTAAATATTTTATGATATGCTAAATTCTTGTCTTGAAATACCAGACTCCTCCGTTTATATTAACTAGTAAAACTGTCAAATGATTTTATCTTGTCGAATAAAAAAGTATCTCTGAACTTTATTTGCATATCCAAACGGATTTTATTTTAGAAAACTACTCATTTCTATTAATTTATGTGTATATATTGTTTGATAAATGTTTAGTCGTTGAAAAGAAACATACGTATAATTCATGATTTGGCTTTTATAATTTTTGTCACTTAAACAATTTAAATTTTATGCATTTTTTAATGTTGAATTATGCAAATAAAATTTTAGAAAATCTTAATGATTAGTTTGACGCCTTTTTAAATTAATTTTGGTGATTTTAAAATGTAACAAAATTTATTGCAATGATAAAACGATATTAGATAAATAGTATTAAATAGTAATAGTATAAAATAAATAAAGAAAGGAATGAATTATTTCAGTTTAATACATCATATACATAAATAGTTCAATTTAGTTTAATTTTGCGGTTCGTAGTTCCATGCTTGTTTTAGGCGACGACTAGAGATCAGTTTATATTATATTATAAGTATACTATCTGCTAGTGATAAGAGCGAACCCAGAGAGTTAACAAACGATAGAGTTAAGTTCTCAAAACGAAAAATTTAGACCTAGAAAGGACAACCAGAAACGAGAATAATAAATAGCGCAGACACCAAGAAAATGCGGTGAAAAAGTGCAGGTCTGGACGAAGATCGAAAAAACACAAGGGCGTGGCTTGAAATACCAACATAAAAGAGACCCTCTTCGAAGTAATGCGAGAGTGGTTTCGAGGGGGAATAAGTCTCGTCGAAGAGTGGGTGTTTTAGTCCGTATACTATATATTAATGTTAGAGAGTCGAACACAATTCTGAAGACGGTCGGTTTGACAGTGCACAAAGCATACCACCTCCTCACCACAAAAAAAAAAAAGAAAAACTATCTACTATATTATTATTTGGATATTTTAAAAACCGAAGTTATCTGATTATTCGATTAATCGGATTTCAACGAAATCTCCGGAGTTGAAAAAAAACCGGATTTTTTGTAAATCTAGAGTTTTTGAATATTCGGATTTGCGATTATTATTTTCCAGTGAAATTATTCGGAGACTTTTTGAGCAAAAGGCAAAGGGAGAGCATCAAATAAGCGGGGATCATACATTTTTAGGGATGATAGAATTTGTTGTTGTTATTCGATTTTTTGTGTTAACTATTTTAAGCAGAAAATTATATGTGCGTAATGTTTGTTTTATTTTACTTTATTTTATTATATATTACTAAACAAAAAATTTACATTTTGAATAACTTATATTAATATTTATGATTTATATAAAGAAATTATATTGATGAACATTTGAAATAAATATATAAATATACGTAAAAATTTAACTATATTTATTATTTTTATTATTTTAGAAGGGCAGCGTATTGTAAATAATTTTGACAGAAAAAAGTCGTCCAACACTTGCTTATTCAAACAGATGTACGAGAAGCCTGAGTTGGATAGATTCTTGAAAATTATTATACATTCCTTTATTTCACTCCGAATAAAAAAAGAACATTGTGCAGTTTCATGGAAGAAATAAAACTGTTTTAAGTAAAAGTATTTTATTTACAGCAGTATCCAAAAGAGAGTTTTCCTAGAATATTCTAGAAATTTCGATATAAACGATGCATTATGTTTTATAGCCAGTTAGCTAAACTATTAATTCTATGTTATATAGATAACAGCTAATCAAATTAACTGAAACACTCCCGGAACAGCAATTAAACTTGATTTAAAGCAAGGGTGGTACCTTTATCATGATGTGAATATGTGATCAAAGACTTTTTAATGACTTGATAAAAACTGAGACACTTTTAATGAAACACTTTTCAACTACTATTTGAGTCGATCTCTTCATAATTCTCTTGATAAGTTCAAAGGCCCTACAAAGACGCTGTTATGGATTATTTTGCTAACTTGATTAAACTTGATTGATGATTGTAATCACCTAACTATTTTATTATGTATTACATATTGGCTAATCTAAAAAGCATATGTGATGTGTAGACAACCCTATTATAATGCATAGAATCTATTTGTTTGAATTGCTTGACAGTTGATTGTTTACAAGTAAAATAAACTAAATGTAATCATTTTATTAATTTTAACAAAAATTTATTTACTTATAAATAAAAAAAATAATAATAATAGAAATAAATGTTGGCAGCTTTGTCTATTTTATTTAGACAAAGACGTAAATACTTAAAGGGTAACTTTTAAGTTCAAAATTTGTCAATGTCCTGAACTTTAATACGGCATTTACACTGGCCGAAAATGGGTTATTTTGGTCAAAAATCGAAAATGAGAAGCGAATGGCTCATTCTTGCATATAAAATTTCAACCGCGAATGTGATCCATTTCATCACATTCTGTATAAATGCGTCCCAACGACGTTTGAAGGCATTCCAAATATGTTCCAAATAGAAATGAAT